AGGATGCTTCCATATAAATATGACCAATCATGGCTTTGCTGTTCTTAAGAAGAAGACTTTTAAAGATATTTTCCTATATATATATCTATGTAGAAATTTGATCCCCCATTGTGGCCCCACCCTACCCCCGGGAATCATGATTTGAACAAACTTGAATCTACACCACCTGAGGATGTTTCCACATAAGTTTCATCTTTCCTGGCCCAGTGGTTCTTGAAAAGAAGATTTTTAAATAATGTCATTGTTTTTTCACTAATTCCTAATTATCTCCCCTTGAAAGAGGGCGTGACCCTTCATTTGAACAAACTTGAATCCCCTTTACCCAAGGATACTTTGTGGCAAGTTTGGTTGAATTTGGCCCGGTGGTTCTTGAGAAGAAGTCGGAAATGTGAAAAGTTTACAGACAGACAGACAGAAAGACGGACGACGGACAAAAAGTGATCAGAAAAGCTCACTTGAGCCTTCGGCTCAGGTGAGCTAAAAATCCCAACTTTTTTAACACCGTATGCCAAGGGCTTATGAGGAGAGTAGCGTATCAGAAACCCTTGGCTAGCGAAGATGGGGCTGTAGAGACTTTCGGATGATACAAGTGATTTCGGCACCTGGTGAATTCGGCAACTAACGAAAAAGGTAATTAGGCACTCAGTGAATCTGGCACCTGGTGAATTCGGCACCTATTTGTGTTAATTCGGTAACGGTTTAATTTTTGTGAGTGTTTTGGTAATATTTTTCGTGTGATTAATTGGTTGATTGCTCTTACAGGGAAAAAGGTGTTTCGATTGTTTTTCTCAGAAAAATACTCTTTGTAAAGTATAGATCTAATAAGTTAAAGTTCATATGTGGAAAACTCAATTAGGATTACTGTAAGTTTAAGACCTTTTCTTTAAAGAAAATTTCGAATAATTCTATAATTCGTACCGAAACGTACAGCATTTAATTATCAGTGCATAAATATAAATTTTTGCGGGTATAGAAAAGTTAAAACTAAAGAACGAAGCACATAATAATTATCTTAAGTAGAGAATTTTATAATTCTAGTTGTTGTCTTTATATTTGATCGTTTTGTATTAAATAATATGCATCTGAATAAACACCGATCTTAATTTTTGTAGCATATTTTAGTGGAAAATAGAAGAAAATTTAATGGAAGTTTATTTTCAGAATTACCCGTTGTCCTTTGCTTTACCAAACAATGTACGCATATAACCAAGATTTGAAAAAAAAGCTTGTCCACAATAATTGTACTGTTCAAAATTGTAATTTTTTTATGCCAGCGTGTTGAAATGCATAAAGCGAAAAATTGGATTTTTAGGCAACGAATTTTTTACCAGGGAAGGCAAAATATTGTTTTTCAAGTAGATAATTTTAGCAAATGTCCTTTTAATATAGAATCACAGCCCATAATTCACAGTTTATTTACGGACACCATACCAACAAAATTGTCTCACTCAAAAAAATAACTCTCCTTACTATAATCTGGGAATGTATTTGCATTAAAGAAATATTTTGAACTTTGGGACAACGTTAATAAACATTTATATTAATCCTTAGACGAGAATTACAAATTTTATATTGTTGAAAATTTAGAACTGTTCCAAAATTTAAACTAAATACCAAATTCCTGCCATACCAAAAATCATAGTATAATTATTTTACTTCATAAACTTAAAATGTACTAATTTATTTCTTTAAATTACCACTGCAACAATTAGTTGGCGTAAAAGAGTTTTATTTTATTACAATGTTCAACATTCAGTAATAAAATATCGATGGTTATTTAACACGTGTGTTGCATCATATTTACAACCTTAATTACACGACCTCCTGTAGATTCCTAACAAGCCTGCTGCTTTGAAAAGAATGTTTTATTGTACTGGAGACGTTATATCAATTTCTATTCATATAGACCTATCAAGTAAAATTATAGAGCATGATGCTGTACAAACAAATCATTAAAAAATAAATAAATAAATAAAAATCAATGGTAACTTTTTCATCTCCGTAGCAGTCATTTCCGTAACATGTACACAAATTTATTTTGTACGTTTATAACATTTCAGACAAACATAACAAAATTTAAGACAAAAACATATTTTCAGTATTGCGACTTAGAATGTTTTAGCCATGTACAGCTTTAAGATCTAAAACAAAAACGCTCAGAGAATATCACGAAAACGGAAATTTACTCGGAGCTATGTATATATTTGCTGTAATTAGATCCTCATTTGAACGATTTAACTTTTTCCTTAATATTGAATTAAATTCAATAAAGATCGAATAAAACAATTTTTTTTAATTATGGACTACAAATTTACTACTCTATACCTATTAATACTGATTTACCGTTACGTTGTCATTTCCGTGCACAAAATTTGAAAATTTGAAAATAAGTTGAGATTAATTTAAATATCTGTAATATTTTAGTGAATTATCTTTAAGCAGCTTTTCTTTCATGAACAATTCAAAATAGCACTAAAAAATCTAGATAAAAAAATCTAAATTGAAATACATGTACTTGCATTAAGGGAGAAAGGGGTAAGGTTTTGCCGTACGACATTGATTCAAAAAATAATACGCGCATTGTTAGATTGTTCGTTCAAACTTGCTATGTTTATTTAAAACTGTCCTGCTTCAAATATATTCATAGAGCATGTAAAAAAAAAAAGGGGGAGGGGCTGCTCTCTCCCGGCCTTCCCATTTCTTCAAAGAAGAGTCTATTGCTGTAAATTTTGATTGATTTTTTTTAAATTCAATTTTTGATGTACAGTATGGTCAAACACTCCTAATGTCCAAATAATATACATGTATTGAAAATTAGAACGAAAGTGAAATTGATCATAATTACACCCCCCCCCCCTTTTTTCTATTTCGGAAAAGATTACATATTATGTATCTCAAGAACAGCAAAGCCATGATTGATCATATTTATAAGGAAGCTTCCTCAAGTAGTGTAGATTCAAGTTTGTTCAAATCATGATTCCCCGGGGGTAGGGTGGGGCCATAACGGGTAATCAGAGTTTTACATATGAATATATAGGGAACATTTTTAAAAATCTTCTCAAGAACAGCAAAGCCATGATAAGTCATATTTTAATGGAGGCATCATCAGGTAATGTAGATTCAAATTTGTACAAATCATGATCCCCAGGAGAATAGAGGGGCCATAACAGGGGATCATACAAAGGAATACAACGGATATACATGTATCAATCAGAATTTTCTTCTTAAGAACAGCAAAGCCATTATTTGTCATATTAATTCAAAAGCATCCCTATGAAGTTTAGATTCAAGTTAGTTCAAAGCCCCCCCCCCCCCGAACCAGTTTTGTATTTAAGCTTTTAAAGAATGAACTCATTTCTGCTTTTTCCCAGCCAGAGTGCTCAGTTGAGCGATTGTGGCCCCTGGGACTCTTGCCGGTGAATACATACCAACTCTGATAGCAACCGAAACTTAAGAAGATCTGGTTTCGTTCAGAAATCTCTTTCAATATACATTTTTTAAAATATTTTTTATCATATTTACGTATATTACAGACTTACACATCTTCACATACCGAAATAAGCACGATCTAACTTGTAAATAATTAGAAGAATCCTGAAAACTTGCAATTTGATTAAAATCAGATCTTTGTTACGCTCCAAAATTCTTATGGCCGTAACACCGCGTCCGTCAGAATTTCGGAGCGTAACAAAGATCTGATTTTAACTAGATTGGAAAACTTGGAGTACCGATATACTGACTTGACAACGCGTACAGTCTTCGGAAATTTTTACTTCATCTAATTTCTAAAAGATTATTCCGCAAAAAACATGTAGCATGAAATCACATAAATTACTTGTTCCGTGCATGCACAAGGATTAATCAGAGACTTAAACGAATTGGGGTCACTTTTTGACAGTTTTACAACTTGTTTCAAGTGTCTCCAATATATTTATTTCAGCTAGCAGCCGTTCCTTTTTCGAATAGAAACATTGATCGCATTTTTGTTTAAATAGCAACCATTAGGAATGAAAGAAAACTGTTTGATGACGATGATTATCTAAAACATCTTCAAAGAATTATAGTATTTATTATATTCTTAATAATTCAAAAAACGGGTGCCGAATTAACTAGATGCCGAGTGCACCAGGTGCCGAATTAACTAGGTACCGAATATACTAGGTGCCGAATTCACTTTACTTGGTGCCGAATTAACTAGGTGCCGAGTTTACCAGGTGCCGAATTGACTAGAATTTCTTTCGGGGACTAACAATCCACCAGCAGAGGCCTCGACCCAGGGGTCATGATATAAATCTTATACGGTACCAATTTTGAGACACCAGATGCGCATTTCAACAAATTTGTCTCTTCGGTGATGCTCATGCCGAAAGGTTGGAAATTTCTAGCGCTTTTTTCTTAATATTTTCACTATTTGTCCAATAAGCGATACTAAAGGTATCAGAAAATGATGACAACCCCTTTATTTGAGACACATTTAATGTTTATTAAATTTTTGGGTTTTTTAAAAGAAAATAATCATTTAAATCCGAAAATTTTATTTCAAAGCATAAGGCATTTTAACCTTTTGTCGTGCGCACGTTCTGCGACTTTTAAAGACCGCGATTTTTACACAAAAATATTTAGTTCAAACAACCAAAATAAACCATTCTGGCTTTGATAATCATAACACATATTTTGGTATACAATTAGTATGACCAATCAGGTTGACAAAAACGCCATTGTCTACGAACTTTATGGACAACCCTCGTGTTTGATTTTCTTTCCTTGTTTGATCTCAAAGTAAAATCTTTGAATTTTTAGTCGAGATAACGAGTGAAATATTATCTGACTACTCCATTGAAAACGCTCAATTATTCAGCCTTCTAAAACGACAATGCATAATTGGAGCATACAATGGGTTTCATCACTTACTCTATTCACGGGTTATAAAAGAGACTTACAGAAAGGACATTTTACATCAAAAAGACAAGGATGGCCTAGCACTACTCCATTATGCTGCAATGGGTGGGTCAATACAAATATTTGATGACATTTTGAAAGCTGATCAAAACCTGAAGGTTGATGTTAAATGCAATAGAGGCCAAACGGCTCTGCACTACGCAATAAGAGAACGTAAAGTGGATATGAGTATTTATCTAATTTCACATTTTGCGGAACTGCTGAGTAGCATCAAAATTGATACAGGACAGAGACCTGAAATTCACAGAGATACTAAAAAGCAAATTACTCCAAGGTTTGAACCAATCCATTGGATTGCGTGGATAGGAAATTTACAAATTCTGGAAACTTTGAAAAGGAAAAATGGGAAGACAAGTTTTGATATGGCAAAAACAACAATAAATGAGCTGAATATTTTACATATAGCTTGTTTGGCAAATGAAAATGATTTTTGTAAACATGTGATGAAAAATGAAACTCAAATTGACATTGATATAACAGATAACTGTGGATGGAATGTGGCTCATTATGCTGCAAGAGCAAATAACTCAGCTTTCTTCAAAATACTAAAACAATTTAAAAAAGAAAACCTTATTGAAATCCGAACCAAATGTAAAAAAACAACTTTACATATTGCTTGTGAATATGCAAGTGAAAAAGTCGTTGATTATTTGCTGGAAAATCATAAAACACTCTTAGATAAAACAGATGAACTGAAATGGAATGCCTTGCATTATGCCACAAAAGGGGGAAATCTAAGTATTTTGAAAAAAATAATCCATAACGGACTGAATGTTGGCTCTCTCACTAATGAAGAGAAAACTTTACTACATGTCGCATGTATTCATAAACAAGTGGACATTTGTCGATATGTTGCTGAAAAATTTGTTAAAACAAATCAAAGTGCTCTAATTAATAAAAAGACAACAAATTATGGGTGGCTGGCTGCTCACTATCTTGGTGTTGAAAGAAAAGGGAATGGCAGAGAAGAAGCTATTCTTGATATTCTATATGATTATAAAATGGATTTAAAGGATGAGACGGATGATGGACACAGCATACTTGACATTGCTTTGGAGCATTTTAATGAAGGACTTGTTAACTATATTCTTTCAGCAAAATACATAGAAGCTATGGATATTAGCAAGCAAAAGCTACAAAAGGCAGAAAGAGATGCACGAAATGAAGAAATTAAAGCGTCTCTTAGGAGAGCTCTGGAAACCTTCAAATGGCATTGACAAATTAAATTATTATAGAGCATGACAAATCCGACTTCTGCAGTAACGTATATTAAAGACAAACAAGAAAGCCGCTCGTTATAGCGTGTATTATCTTGATGAAGAGAATATTTTGTTTTTGGATGTAATATCTTAGTCTGAGCTTGAAAAATTGTATGAAATTCTTTGTTACAAATGTACCAGCTATATTTCTCATTTTAAGATTTTACTTTAATTCTATTGACTTTAATTCATTAATAGTCGATTCAATTGTATATATTTCATATTGTAAAACTTTTATACCATATTGTTGCCTACTTTGCCACCTCGGCAATGACATGACTAAAACTAGGACATTCAATGTATGAAAATTACTGTTGTTGGCACTGGAGATCTTATGATTATGATTCTCCTTCATGGCACCTGATCCCACCTCAGATGTTTTGGAGGTCCGTGTTTGCTCTGCTCCTATTTTGCATTGTTTAATGGACTTTCGAGCTTGAATACTGTTCGTTATCTCCATATATTTCATCTTTTGATATATTTTTATGGATTAATGTGATGCAAAAATCATCTATTTATATTTTTTCTTAAAAAATTAGACATCTTTTTACAGTTAAAGTAAATTCTTATTTCTTGAGTATCTAAAGATTTAAAGATTATATACATGTATCTTAGATTATGCTATGCAATTGCATCAGTGGCCAATAAAGGCTAAATACATTTTGCGCAGAAACAATGTAGCGCAAACGGTTTAACTCGGTTTTATGTCTAAATGTTAAACAAATGCAAGTAGTTATTGTGGCATATACATATATATCATATGAAAACAAATAACAGTTAATAAATATTGAGCGAAAACCTGCACAAAATTGCAATTTTTAAATTCTAATTCAAATCATTGTTCTATGAAAACATAAAAATTTACAGATGGTTTAAATCTTTGTTTAATTATTTAAAAACAAAAATTAGAGATCAATTTCTACTCAATTATTATTTTAATAGAGTCTTAAGAGAAAATTAGGCAGAATTCACTCTCGATGATATTGTATAGTCTACTTATATTGCTTGAAGTGATTTTACAGAGGTCATGTAACACGTAGCTACTCCATTTAGACTACAGTGTGTAAGGACACACATAACATAGGAAACGGTGTGGTTATCAGCCGAGTACTTACATATGACCTGTCTTCATTTCAATGATATCTTTGCGTTTGAAAAAAAATATGTATATAAAAATATTTATTATATATATATAATATATATATATATATATATATATATATATATATATATATATATATATATATATATATATATATATGACCATACAAATACAACTTGTCAACTTTTCATTTGATAATAGAATTTATACACAATACTGATATTTATTCTTTAATTTGTACATAAGATGGAATAGTCAGACTGAAGAAGTATATGCTTTGTGTGATAAAGGTAAAGATAATCTTGTGTTATATTTATATTGTTTGATTATGCATGAAGGAAATCTACACATGTGCATCTTTTTTTTTTCTTTTACACAGAAATTACAATTATTTCCACATTCCATGAGCATTCCACCACATGAATGAACTTGAATACTTCAATGCTTTTTGACAAAAATGGATGTCTCTCCAATTCACATATTTCAAAAAACTGGCAATAAATTACAATAAGACAGTGGTTTATAAGATTGAGATATATGACTTTCAATTATGGTCTTAATACCTTTTTTTTAAAATCATCAGCAAAAATATACTCTAGTTCGAATTGATTCCAATCCCGGGTTTACTGGTAATTGGTACTGACATTTTCTAAAAAAAAAAAAAAAAAAAAAACACATACACTACACAGTGATCTTGACTTTTAACATATAAACAGAGCTCAAGATCATAACATAATTATGGGTCAAGATCAGGACATAGGTGTTTGACAACAACATACTAAAATATCAAGGGAGTCAAGAGATATATGTCCAAAGATATGATTTCATGAAAGACGAACAGAAAATAATAACGCCCAAATCTCTATGCTTAATAACGAGATAAGAAAATCATACTCACGTAGAAAGGTCTAAATTTCTAATTGTCATTCAGTTGGTATTTCAATAAACTTGATCGAGTTGTGATCATAAAAACGCAGTTTAGAGTGCATGTAAAACAAAACTTTGTATTTTATATAACTAGGGCTGTGAAGTTGTTTTCCTGGCTTACTTTTTTAGCTCACCTGAGCTGAATACTCAAGTGAGCTTAACTGATCAAAATTTGTGCATTGTTTGTCGTTGTTGTCGTAAATATTTTACAATTTCATCTTCTTCTCCAGAACTACTGGGCCAGTTTCAACAAACTTGACACAGAGTATCCTTGGGTAAAAAGGATTCAAGATTGTTCAAGTGTGGAGCCACACTCTCTTCTAAGGGAGATAATTAAGAAAAAGTATAAATTGGACGGGGTCATTTTAAACTCTTCTTCTCAAGAACCACTGGGCCAGAAAAGATGAAACTTATATAAAAGCTTTCTGACAAAGTGTAGATTCAAGATTGTTCAAATCATTACCTCTGGGGGTACAGTAAAGAACAGTAAAGCCATGATTGGTGATATTTTTATGAAAGCATCCTTAGGTAGTGTAGATTCAAGTTTGTACAAATCATGACACCCGGGGCTAGTTTTACATTGGTATACATAGAAAAAACATTTAAAAATCTTCTTATCAAAAAGAGCAAAGTCATGATTGGTCATACTTTTATGGAAGCATCCTCAGGTACAGTAATGTAAATTCAAGGTTTCTTTTTAATTATGAACCCTGGGCGTTGTGAGGGGCCACAAAGGGTGATCAATGTTTTACAGATAGATATGCATAGGAAAAAACTTTAAAAATCTTCTCAAGAACAGCAAAGCCTTGATTAGATGTATTTATATGGACGCATCTCGGGTGGTTAACATTGAAGTTTGTTCAAATCATGATCCCAATGGTGGAGGGAGGAGCCACAATTGATGATCAAAGTTTTACATGGAAATACACAGGATAAATCGTTAAAAATCTTCTTCCCAAGAATAGCAAATCCCTGATTAGTCAAATTAATGTAGAAGCATTCTCGTGTAGCGAGATTCAAGTTTGTTGAAATCGTGTTCCTACCGGGTGCAGGGCGGGGCCATAATAGAAGATTAAACATATAGAAAAAATTCTTCTAAAGCCATGATTAGTCAAATAAATATGGGAGCATCCTCAGTTAGTGTAGAATTAAGTGTGAATAAATCAAGCTCCCCCTTTCCCCTGATAGGGGAGGTTATTTGCGATCAATTACTACTAGTATATATCTAATTAATCTTTTCAATACTAAATTTATTTCTGCTTTTTCCTAGCTAATGTGCTCCGGTGAACAATGTGGTCTATGGACCTCTTGTTCTGATTTTTATCTCATGTCTGTTAAAAAAAAACATTGTAATATTCTTAATGTGAGAAACTTTCACTCAAAAGTAGCTTATAAGATGTACACTTGTGAATTAATAATTCTTTTTGACGAGGCATTGCTGATTCAAGCATCACATATGGTGATCATTAGGTTTTATTGCATGATAATTGTCCAATCAAATCTATGATAAAGTCTTCAACCGAAAGTAAAAAATACAGTGTTTTTTCTCATTTAAAAGAATTCTTTTGAAAAGTACACTTCAACTTCTTATATTGCGATTTTTATTCAGAATTTTGGAAAATAAAGAATGATAATGGAAATAGCTAACTTTGATAACACTTTCATAAATTTCTGGTCGCCTGCTTGGTGCAGTGCTTGGGACGATGCCCTCTATAGTCGCGGAGTAAGGAGTTCTTTACTCCACGACTTCGAAACCCACTGGAGGACGTGAAGACCAGTCCTTTGGATGAGACGATATAAATCAAGGTCTCAAATTGAAATTTGTATATGATCTCCATGCAGTACAGAGTATATATGCATTTATCACGTGAATGTCAAGTCAGTTGACCAAATTAAATTCTATACAGAATGGCATATAGTATGTTATTTCAATTAAAATTAGATTCATGTGATAATGTAACAGCTTTACAAAAATAAATGTATTTGTGCGCACCTATATTCCGTTCCAAACGGTTCCTTTTCAGCTGTCAAAATTCAATCGAGTTCAGCTCTCAATACCACAATAAAAGTTGTGTTTGTGAAGCACGAGTGCTCTGGAATCTTGGGAATTGTCCATGGGTCAAAGTGAATTCACTATTTATTGACTAAACAGATGGATCACATGTACTACAATCCAATGAACAAGAAACCTAATTTGTGTTTCATCTCATCTTTTCCATTGCATCATTAAGACCCTTCCAGAAATTGTTTAGTTCTTTTTATCATCTTATCCTTTGGTCAACTACAAACTACCCTTTTGAAGACTAAAATTTCTTTCGCTTGTTCTTGGCCTTACTTGAATGCTTCTTTGATCCTATTTGCAACTTTTGATGCAGTCAGATTAAACACAATTTGAATTTTATATAAACCGACATTAAATTCGGCTTCTTTCAGAACTTTCAACACTTTGCATACAGAGCTTTAGATGATGAATGAATAGATATGAGCGGGTTCTATTCCTGCAGATAGAGCGACAGTTATAGATACAACTTTGCCAGGCATCGGTCTGTCTGCCTGTCTGCCCGTCACACCTTACATCTTGAGAAGTATTAGAGATATGGATTTGATATTTTGCTCATGTATTGCTTGCAGCTTTCGTAAAATACCATGGTTACCAATTCCGTTACCTTCGAACTTATCCTTTGACATACTATTCATATACACCATAATGTTGATATACAAGTGTATATATTTTTTTTTACCTTTGAGAAGCAGATGCACAAGGGAGTCTTATTTTCAGCATGTGCACTGCTTGTCTTTAGAAACTTTGAAAACCAGCACCGTTACATTCCACCAGATCACAGTTGAAAGGGAGAGGACAGACGCTGGATGGTGATCATGGAATTCAGCAAGAACAACAGTGGCCAATATAAATGAGTGGAGAGGCTCTGTGTATGCCGTATTTGCTAAAAGGCACAAGGGGGTATGAATAAAAAAAATTATCGTTCTCATTTATTTACTATATGAATAAATTTAAGATTTTATAAGTGGGTTTTACAAGAAATACTCCCCAGCATAGGAATATGTAAGATATGTTCACATTCGTTTCCAGAGTCTGGGTAATAATTAATTATATTAAATAAAAATTAGACCATTGAAATTTCTTTTGAATATGTTACAGCTGTGAATGACACAACAGTATTTTTGTCAACACTTCACATTTATTGTGGTGCAAACCACAGGATATGGGCATCATCATGTGACAAAGATCTAGGAAATAAGCACCTGAAGAGTTTGTCAGAGACCATTAGTATATATAAGTTTTGGGTTTAAGGATATAACATTTGACTTCTTCGTTTGATGATAAAGCATTATCCTTTATCTCTGATTTTTATATACATGAAATGTAAAGATAACGAAGAGTGGTCAATCTCAAAAGTCCATTAAAGTAATACAATATATGAACGGAGCCAACACGGACCTTTGAAAAACAGAGGTGGGATCATGTGTCATGGAGAAGTAATCATCCCCTGCCGACCGGTCACACCCGCCATGTGCTCCTTTTCATGATCGGGTAGACGGAAAATCCGTAAAAATTTCAGTGTGAAAATAATGGCCTAACAATTAGTATGAAAAACGTCGGTCGACATTCGACATAACGACAGATTGTACTTGCAAACAAGGTCATTGTATCGACAATAGAATTTGCGAAATGTTGACGTTAAATGAGATTATTGATATACTTATATCATCAATTTATTTGTCAATAGCCTGTTTCGTTTTAGAAATTGTTCGAACGAAGAACATGCTTTTGCGTATCGAATACTGGGACTGTCTGGGAGACATAAACTCCATATGCTGGTAATAATGGTAAATTGCTACATTTACGATATAAAAGTTGAAGTTATCACATCTATCATAAAGTTTAGTGATCATGATCAGTTTGCCATTAATATATCTTTCTCTAGTAAAAGATTCAAATATGACATAGATCTGTCAAAAGACTGTGTGATGTCTTTTATTTCGTGTTCGAAAACAGCCCGAGAATTTGAAATTAAAGAATTTGACATTTTTTGCTATTAACATGGGAAGAAATTCTCTTGATTTTCTCCGGTGTAGCTTTAGACTGAATTCCATCAAAGCGCAATTACCCATGAGAGTGACAAATGATGTCAGCACTGTTGAGGGGAGGATCCAACATTTTTTCAGATTTAAAATTAAAGCTTTAAAACTTTATTTCCAGAGAACAATATATTAAGGCTTTTTATTGCGGGGGGGGGGGGGGGGTAATCAATAAACAAATTAAAATAAAAAGGAAATTAAAATAAATATTTGAATTTGTAACCCTCATTTTGATGTTAGAAAGTATAAGTATATCATAGGTTACTAATTTTACCCCATTTCATTGACCACACAAGTAGTGCCATAAAAAAACACAGTTTTTTTTTCATAAATATGTCTTCGGATGTATACAGGGTGGAATGGGCTGATTTTAGGGCATAGATAAGAAGGAGAGTGTCTGGGGAAAAGAATTAAAATTTCAAATATTGAGAAATGTTGCCTTTGAATGCGTAGTAGGAAGGGTAAATAAGCCTATGTTTACCTTCTTCTCAAGAGGTAAGTTAAAAATGCAGGGTATGGGGTAACTCGTGGTGTCTTAGAGGGACTTGTACACTATGGATTCTCCTTAGATTTAAAAATATATTAAGACTATAAGAAAAAAGAAATCGCTAAATTTCAAGACTAATTTAATTAATTCTAAATAAAATTGAAATAAATTCCACATGCAAAAAAGAAGAAGAACGCGTGGAAGCAAAATAATTGAGCATATTAAAGGAAATAAATGCTATAATTATCAATGACACCCGAAGAAAATATTTGTAAAAGTAACTTTTTTTCTTAGATCCACCTCTCCAAGACTCTGCCATAAATTGTCTCGAATCACTCTTAGGGGAATATCGGTGATAAGCGGTAATAGCACTTGTATTGAGTTCAGCTCAAAGCTAAATCGGACGGGATTTCTTGGGATGATTTTGCTACTGACAAACAAGTTGATGAAACAAGAATATCAGCAGTCTCGTTTAAAGTCATCATTTCATATTCTACGGTCGATACAATGACCTTGTCAGCAAATACAATTTATCATCGAGTCAAAATGCTGAATGACGCTTTTCATACTTATTGTTAGTCCATTATTTACACACTAAATTGTCGACGGATTTTTCCGTTATTCCTGACAAGGAGCACACGGCGGGTGTGATCGGTCGGCAGGGAATGCTCACTCCTCCATGGCACTTGATCCCACCTCTGATGTTTTGGAGGTCCGTGTTTGCTCTGCACCTATTTTGTAATGTTTAATGGACTTTTGAGCTTGAATACTGTTCGTTATCTCCATATCTTTCATTTAAGTAATTAAATATAACTAAGAATTGTTGTTAAGTCGAAAATATTTTCACTTGTCTGCATTGGCTTTATGGTGATCGAAATTCATGTAATCTGATTCAGCACGAATAGTTAATTTGTGTCACCTTTCAGAAGTTACCAATGAACTCGTACATTGACAGTCGTTTGTTTGTTTGCTTGTTTAACATATCGTCGAGAATTTTTTTCACTCATACTGAGACGCCACCACTTGTCGGCAGAGAACTGCAAATTTAGACCTGTAGTCGGCACTTACGGCCTTTGAGCAGTGAGGAATCCTTTTCGTGCCAGCACCTACTGCGACACAGGACCTCGGATTATACGGTCCCATCCGAAGGACCTGTCTCCACCTCACACAGTGGATTCAACCCCGCAGTTTCACTTTTCCCGACTCGACACAGCTTTTCCGCGACGAATCATACTACTATTCCAAGATTATATTTTTTGCATTTCCTCGACTTCTTTTAATATGTACCTCCTTTATTAGCAAGGTACATGTAAATATCTTACCTCAGCATATTAATCCTTTTGTATCAGATGTAATATTTTTCAATGCATGCTGCATCGCCATCATTTAAGAAAATTCAGTTTTCTATATGTATATTCACAATATACACTGCATAATATACTTTGGTTACCTCGATTTGTTTCGGTATGAACAATTCCTGTGACTTCTGAAACCTATCACTGACTAGTATGAACTGCAAAATTCTTCTATAATTATTTTTTTTTTTATCGCTCTGCTATACTTATAATGACTGACTAGAATTCTATGATGAAATACAGGTACATGTACCTGTATATATCGACAACAGTTTGATGCCAAGCACTATACCCATGGACATTAAAAAATCGCAGATAAGGAGGTATCAAATAAAGGAGGTAACGCACAACTTACACAAATTATAGTATAACCAATCACGGAAAAGCTATGTGAAAAAAATGAAAAACAGACAGGGGACTGAAATAAAACCGCGGAAAAACAGGACGGCCAAACCCGCGATGTAAGGATCAACTCCTTTCTTCGCGACTGTAGAGCAAACGCTCTAACCCACTGCACCAAGCGGGCGACATTGGCGGTCGTGGGAAAACTTTCCTGAAATTCCTCGCCCAAATTCAGTTAAGTTTTTAAAAATTTCCACCACATTTCATACCTAATAAAGAAGAGAAAATTTTCAGTAGTTTACTGTATGTCAATTTTTGATGGAAAAAATATCTGGATGAAAGATACTAAACATTAACCGCTAACAGAAAAATTAGGCCCTAAATATATATCACGAACAAATGTAAATTAGACTACTTGAACGTATTTCACAAGACAAATGATTATTTGACCCTTTTAAAAAAAATACAGCATTCTGAAATTGTTTTGATAAATTAAATTTATGGCATTTTTGATAGTTTCAAATGAATAATTTGAATTCCATACAGATAATGTAGGTGCTGTATTAAAACTAGACAGATTTTGATTTCTATAGACTGGACTGGAATTTTCCATGTTTTTGCATTGGATGTCCTTAAAAATCGAAAAGCGCGAAATCTCTGAACAGATACCGTTGCGGAGTATCATTCATTATTCCTCAGTCGTAAAATATATTCCAGCTATTTTAAAACACTCAATATCTTTGAATGTACAGACATTTTGAATGTAAGCAGCGTTTTTTTCTCTGGATATATGTTTTTATTTACCTAATCAATATAGTTTCGAGTATTTAAATCAAGTAAATCCACAGGCGCCTGAAATGTGGATCGATAGCCCCTCTTTCCCAACCCCACTTTAATTTAAAAATAAATTGTAAGAGGTTATAATTTGTATTTTTATTATACCGGACAAGACCATTCTCTAAATGTAAGAAATTAAAGATACGATCTGCTTTCATGATATGACATGGATGTGATTAACGGGGAAATTTTATATAAGCTCTTTCATTTTTTTAATTAAGGGGGATGGGGCTATCGATCCACACTTCAGGCGCCTGTGGTAAATCGCTGATCTAGCGTCGTTTTAGATCTAGAATACTTGTATATAACGTTCGGGTGTGGTATACAATATACTACCAAGCCTTAAAATAAAAAAAAAAGAAAAAAAAATCATAATGAAATGCTGTCGATTTCGTCTGACTGTGTTGATGGTAAGGGTAAGTATGAGCTATAAATTTTATGTTTCTAACATACTAATGAATTTCCTTAATTATCTAACCCTCGTATTTGTTATTCAATCTTTTCATTCGGTTATTTCGCTAATTGGTGGTTATTTCGCTAATTCGGTACGCTTGCAATCCTTTGACAGTTTGAATCTTGTACTAGACCTAGGCTTAAGTTGTTGTGCTGCAAGAATCGTGAATGGTGTTGACATAAGCCTTTTTAAGCGCTTGTTATCACAGGTTCCCTTCTTTGCTTTTAACAGTTTAATTGATCTCTCTGAGTGAGGGCGCCTTATTATTTGTGCAGAACAAGGCCTACACTGCATAAGCATCATCATTAGTACACATAGTTTTACTCTAGAGTACGCGAGAATGTATTCGTTATTTGGGGCATTCAAATTATTTAATTTATATTCATACTAGGGCCTACTTAGACAAAAATATTGCAATTTGCCTCAGGTATTTATGGCATTTGACTGCTTCGTGACCTCTCGACCGGAAAGTTGTTATGAATTGATGGTATCTTGATCCCGATTAATAGACGATGCCTACATATGCTGTACTGCTCTCTTGCAGGGCGAGTTTATAATTTTTGGTGAAGTTTTTCTTTTACAGAAAATAAAATGACGTTTATTTAACAATTATTGTTATATTTCACCAAACTATACCATTTAGCCTGCAAAATAACAGTACTGCAATTGTCCTGAATCAGTTAATAACCTCAGTGTAATAATTTATTTATACTTAGTTACTGTCTACACATGATCAAAAACTTAATAAATAAATAAAAGGTTATTTTCAAGGCAGATAATTGGATTGATACATATTGAACCAAATTTCACTATGAAAACTGAAAACATCTATTAAATGAATTTAAAGTTAACCCAAATATACATCTACTTCAATTTATGTGTGTATTTGATGTATAATAAATCTGTTATATTCAGCAAAGAATAGTCTTTATATAGAGAAACAGTAAACATAATTGATATTAGCTCCTCGAAAAAATATTGCCGGTCACTTAATTTTTACTATTGCGTGGCAAAAGAGCGACGTTTTACATTGTTGTTGAATTTAATTCTTATTAGTTAGATTGATTTATTGTAACGTAATGATACCATCGTGAATTCCAATAGAATGTCAGACTCCTCAGCCCAACGATACTTCAGCCCATTGACATTTTAGCCCAATGACATCTCGGCTCAGACGGGTCGGCCCAAGATTTAAGACAGGTCGGCCCTTAATTACATAAGACACCTCGGTCCAACTTAACGTCACAAAAAAAAAACCAAGTAACACAATCATGCAACTTGAAGATTCACTATAACAAAACAATTATTGACTGTGTTATTGGTCAACATTAATTATGTTAACCCCCTCAGCTCTGCTTCGGGCAATTCCAGATATTTCATCCCTTGGGGGCTAATATAATGTTTCCCTGAGCCCCATGCAGTCAATATTTGTGTAATATAAAATTTTAATAATTGTTGACATGGGACTTTAAAGTTTAAGTTCTATATACCATCAAATGAAGACAAATGTTTTTTGTTTAGGATGCATGCAAATAAACTCAACATTGAATATAATAAAGATTTCTTTTTTTTCATTTTGTCGATCATCAATAGGAAGACTATTCCTTTCATTTTGGAGTTCTGAATATCTGTAAGAGTGAATGATGAGTGAATTCTGAATGGATGGTGAACTGAGGTGAGTATAAACACTGAAAGCTTTTGACTGTGAAGTCAGAGGATGATGGAAACAAGTTATTTTTTAATTTTTAGGTTACTTCACTTATTGATGACTAAACAAAGAATATTCATGATCATTAAGTTAATTCTTAAAATTAACAAGAATTCCTATATTAAATTTTGTCAGAAAACATCAATATTTTGAGTTTGCTGCAGAATTAAGATATTTAGGCTGAGGAAGTTGCAAACATGTGTATTTCAGTTGATAGACTACAGACTTGATTATCCTGAGCAGATAGGATGAAATTTGTATAAATATTGTGGGTTTTTTTTTTTTTTAGGGAAAATATTTATTCTTCAAGATTATTAATTATTACAGTGGTCAGTTGCACAACTTCTGCCAATTTTGCCAACACTTTAAAAAATTTTCCTTAAATCTTTGAATTAAATAATTAATGAACAATTTCTGTGTCAGAAGTTTACTTTACATGTATTTGTGCAAAGCTGTAGATTTTTGTACAAGATTTTAAAAGTGAAGTAGGGTTGAGGATGAAAAACGTAAAATAATTTAAGTTATAAATAATTTTGTTGAATTTCAACTTGTCAAATTTTAAAGATAGATTAATTATTGTACTATTATGAACCTTTTCTATTTAATAGCAAAGGTATAGCATGAAAAAAGCTTTCAGATACCAGAATGTTTTAAAAAATGATTAAGAATAGTAAAGTAGAAATAACCTGAATAAATTACTGAAGAAAAACAAAATCAAGGAGAGATAACCCAATGCATGTATAACCAATAAACAATACAATGCATCTGGATTATCAAATAATATGCTTTCAATATATATAATATTATGTACTGTGACTTTATTTATAAATTGAATATATTGGCACTGTGCACAGGCATTTGGGTTTTAATCTATATAATATATAGATATACGAATATGTACTGGGTATCATATTATACATGTATAAATTAATGCACATATCTACAGTAAAACACCTTATAGTGAACACTCTTATAATGAATTTATGCTTTTATACAGCAAAGTGATTTTCATCCCCTGTGGTTTTTAAAAAGTATTTTGAACTTAACGAACATAATGAATTATATATGTTTATAACAACATCACGTTTTTTTACAACAAGGAACGAAATTTGTGGCCCCAGTGTGAGGGGTTTTGGTGAGGTGGGGGGAGGGGGGTTTCTTAATTATATACCGAAAAATGCATTTTTTCTTTTGAAAATTTTCTCTTCACCTTGGTGTGCCTCTTCCAAACTTTTGAAATTCATGGCCCATGAATCAGGGGTTCTAGCATTAGGATGGAGCTCTGTAGATTAAATAGTGAAATGCATTTATTTTTTGAACATCTTCTCCATTCTGGGTATTAAGCAAACAAAATAAATACCAAAGACCAAGAGAGGCCATTTAATGTGTGAGGGAATGAGATGGGTTTACTGATAGTGTTAAAGCACTATTGTTTTGTTTCGTTTGCATGGTGACTTTGAACTTTGACAAATTAGCCCAGAGGCAACTGTACAGGCAAATAAATAGATCTACCTTAAGATTTGTAACTGAGTTCTAGACTAATTATTTTGATTATTTTGTTGATCCCTGATTATCCTTTGCATAACATACATGTAGCTTCATCTATCAGTCCATTTTAATTTACTTCTGTAGATCGTTTACAGAGACTTAGAATCAAAAATTATGATTATAAGCAGATTTGAAATTGCAATCACTTGCTAGTCCAACACACACATTAACAAAGCATCATTCTATAATAATTATTGTATATACACATGTAGTATCTATCAACTAAATACTGTAATGATATACAATGCATATATATCTCAACTGAAGTGACAGGAAAATACTGATTTGATAAAAATGACTTTTGCTCACAATACAAAAAAAAAAATGATATTTGTATATATACATGTTTTTACTTAGATATCCACATGAACATATATAAATATTAAAATTTATGATTTGTGCATGACAGTTTTTAAACTAACCAATTTAATTAAGTTCACCACATTGTAAGTATTATTTTTCAGAAATATTTAACAGTATGGCTCTGGTTCTGGTACTTCTGGGCCTTGTTGGTCGAGTTTTTGCTGCAAAGGTAAATATTCAGTTTAACATTAAGTTCATTTATACAATATAATATAATATAGCCTTTACTTTTTTGTTTTTAATATTTATATAGCTCATCTGAGCTGAAAGCTCAAGTGAGCTTTACTGATTACATTTTGTCCAACTGTCTTTTTATCCATCTATCTGTAAACTTTTCACATGCATTTTCCATTAACTTGAACATTTTCAGCTTTTTCTGTGGCAAACAGCCAAACAATCTCAACTTATTTTAGTACATAGCATCTAATAAGGGAAAATGAAAACAGAAATGGCCTTTTATAATTTACTTCATGATTACAATAAATCCTTTTAAAAATATGAAATTAATGACCATTGAGTCCATGGTTTAGATTCTAGTGTGGGGCTAAGTTGGTCCTATATTGAAAATGTATTACACCTTTGAAAATCTTCCTAATTTACTCATTGAAATCTAGCAGGCAAACTGTTGAAATGGTTATGATAAGCAATGTGTTTTGGTGAGGTGGGGGGAGGGGGCACTAGTACTCATGGTTCAGTGTAATAAAGGATAATGGCTTACCGGTAATTGACCCTTTTTGGTAATGGGTCCTGTGGCCTTTCAGTTAAGAATTTTAAATTGAAATAAGTACCAAAATTTGGAAATATTGATGACATATGGTGTCTTACTGTAGCATGAGGACAGAATGTCGGCTTATCCTCTATGCAGTCGTTATATAATCTCAAATTTTAAGGTTATTGATGAAAAGCACTAAAAAATTCAAACTGCTTGTCCTTTGGGAATGTTTACCTTTAGTTAATTTTGGGGGAAAAGCCAATTTTTCAGTTACCTGGAACACAGTCCTTTATCTGGAAAAGATGTTAAGTCCTGAGGATAAGGTTTAGTTAGTCATACTTTGAAAATATATGTACATTACATCTTTCAAAACAGCTTCTTTACTCATGGACATCTAGCTTTCAAATTGTTTGCAAGCTGATTACAATATGTGTGCACATACTGTAAACCAACGTTTATTCCCGTGCGAAGAAATGTCTGCAAGTTTTGCGACCTACTTTAACTCGCAAATATTAATCGCCGTGAACCATTTATTTTCCTTTGTATTTGTAGAGAATGTTTCCTTAGTCGCGAAAATTAATCGTCGCAGAATGATTTCAAACTGACGAATCACGAATAAAAGATGATGCGAATAAAAGTTGGTTTACAGTATTATAGCTTTACCAACTGAAAATTGTAAAAGTCATGGGTCCTGCTATAAAAACAAATGGAAACCCAAATATCTGTTAAACTGAAATGTAAAAAAGAGGTGCACAATGGCACTTTGTAAAAAAAAAAAATTGTGTGATTTTACTTCACAATTAAATTTAATTCAGTGGTATAGGAGGAGTGAGTTGCAGATAAGAGAAGGGTACACCCAATATCGTAGAGAGAATGGCAGTGTCCATGCTTTGCTATCGGGAACCCAAAATATTTGTCTGATCTATATGTAAAATATAGATGCACAATGGCATTTTGTAATTAAGATTCATGTGTTTGAAAGTCTTATTGTACATTATTCAGTGGTATAGGATGAGTTGCAGATAAAATATAGGTACCCCCTGTGGATAGAAAGAATCGCAGTGTTTTGCTGTGGAAAACCCCAAAATATTTTGTCTGATCTGAATGTAAACTAGGAGTTTTCATGATGGCACTATGTAAAAAAGATTCTTTGAAAGTATATCTCATTAAATTTTATTTGATGGTGTAGGAGGAGTTGTGGATAAGATATGGGTACCCCCAGGTGTTAGGGAAGGAAAAATCAGGTCTTGATGCTTGAAAAGCTATAATAGTGTGTATATTTGCACATGCTAATCTGAGTACTAATAATGCATAGAGTCGTGTTGTGGATATGAGGACACATGTTTTGACTTAGTTCAGTGAGACGTGAATTGTTTAAGTATATGACATAATGTAATTCAAATTGTAAAATGTAATTCACTGCATTTTTTTTGGTTGATCTTATCCATTTTGGGATGAAGGAAATAGATCAGATGTCCAGAAATGTAGACTTCCCCATACATCCTGTAGAAAGGTGTCCAATGAATGCCCAAGAATGGGATTCTGCCTCACAGAGATTGCACTGCAATGATACCTATGGATATAATTGTCTCCCAGAAGAAACTTTATCATTCTTTGTAGAATTTTGTTATCCACTGGGAAATTGGATTCTTATTCCAAAAGGTAAATGACAAAATTTATTGAATAATCAATTCTGTAAATGACATTTGATACTACATGTACTAATTTGAATACTTCTGCATGACATATTATTCAAAACTTAATATGGAAGCTGTAAATAAACATGTTTCGTATGTTTAATATTGTTTTGCAGGAAATTGTCCTCGACTTTCTTCTAATAGATTGAAACATTACACTTGCCATGATTTTAAATGTGGGTGTCCTGAACAAGACTATTACAACAATGAAATTTACAAATGTAAGAAAATAAGTATATTGTGTATTTGATTTCAAAACTGTATTTTGAATTCTGCTTCAAATTAAATAGTGCTATGTTTACAGATCCAGCTTGCCTAAAAATATTTAAAGACTGCTTCACATCAGATAGTAGCTGCATGCATATGAAAGATGGCAATGCAAACTCGGAGTAAGTATTTCTAGATTCTCTTTTGAGAAGGTACATGTACATTATACATCACTGTAACTGTGTTTTCATTAGCTTATTACCTAAAGACTGTTGTGAATTTTCTGATCAAAGAGTGTTCAATGTCCATCCCTCTGTCATCTGCCTTGTGTCATATGTATACTTTTAAGATATGTTCCTTCTCAAGAACCACTACAGTTTTCAACAATTTCTAACAAAACTTTTCATGATGCATGCTTGGGTGTTGGGGATAAATGTTTTTTTTTTCTAATAAGGATCCACACTTTCTTCCAAGGAGAGTTTGAAATATTTGTGGCATCATGAAAACCTTAAAACCCTTGGGCCAGGAAAAAACATGTTGTGAAAGTTAAAGAGGTATACACCAGAGAGTATTGTAATGTCAGTTTTTCATGAAGTATATTTCTTATATATCTACTATCATAATGATAAAGAATTAATTAAAATAGAAGAGAGAAACAAGGGTGACACATGCCTTGTTCTTAATGAAGTCATTTAAGCTTGACCTTTTTGCACTTAAGAAAGATTTAAATTATTGATTTAAACTAGCTGTAAAAATATTATAAATATGATTATATGTTTTAAAGGTGCTTAGACACAGATTTGAACTAAATATTTTCTCAAATTTTCTGTATAATATCACGACTTACATGTATATATTGCAATAGCATTTCACACGAAAATATAATTAAAAATTTATTTTATCTGGAAATTATTGGAACTACGAATTCCGGGACGCGTTTGATTAACACATCTTTGCATTTACACAAATTTTAACTTTATCCTTAATATTTAAGAAAAGAAGCAATTTTGTTATGTATCAATGAAAAATATTACATCTATAATCCAGAAAATTCAGAGTAGAAATGTTCGAAAGAAAAACCAACACACCCGTATTGTCAGTCCGTGCTCTGTGATGTATACAGAGTTTAACAAATTGAACACACCCTTGAAAAGTAAACTGTGTTTGTAAACAGGGCACGAGCTCTGTTATTGTTAATGTTTACGATTCACCGGGTGTGTTCAATTGTTAAACTCTGCACACACCACTGAGCACGGACTTACAATACTGTGAGTGGGTTTTGCTTTCAAACTTTTCAACTCTGAATTTTCTGGGTTATAGTTTTAATATTTTTTCATTAATACACAACAAGATTGCCACTTTTCTTAAGTATTAAAAATAAAATTAAAATATGTGAAAGCGCAAGGATGTGTCAATCCAACGCGTCCAGAAATTCGAAGTTTTAATAACTTTGAGATGAAATAAGATTTTTATTATATTTTAGTATGAAATGCTATAGCAACATATAATTCATGAAATTAAAGAGAACGTTTGAGAAAATGTTAACTTCAAATCTGTGTCCAAGCACCTTTAAGTAAATAAATTCTCAAGGATAGTATTATAAATTTTGGTCTGAAAAAATATAATCCTTGAAGTCTAAAATATGAAACTGACCTTGGGGTAATATTGGGCCTTATTAGGTTATCAAAGTTTTACATGGGAATATGCAGAAAAAGGTTTATTATTTTTTTAAAAAAAAATAATAACCAGGGTAGGGTGGCACACATCTTTAAAATTTTCTTCTCAAAGACAGCAAAGCCATGATTAGTCTTATAAATATGGAAGCATCCTAAGATAGTTTAGATTCAGATTTTTTCAAAACATGACACCTGGGGGTATGATGGGGCTAGAACAGGCGATCAAAGTTTAATATATATATGGGGGAAATAATCTGCTGACAAAAGGCAGGGCCATATTGACTCAGGTGAGCAGTGTGGCCCGTGGGCCTCTTGTTGAATTATATCATTATTTGTTGTCAAAATCCGTTTAACTTAGATACTTAAAGACCTGGGGTCATCAAACTTCGTCAGTTGATGCATATAGGGACCAAAAAGTGTATCAATGAAATAGAAGGTCACAGTGACTTACTACTAAAAGGCTTGGAATAAAATCCTGTCAGTTGATATGCCTTTGGGCCTCAGAATATGTTTACTCTAAAGTAGATCACAGAAATAATGTTGTGCCATTAATAGAGGAGCAATTCCAGACATTTGGCCTTTTTTTTTCTTTTGTTTGTGTGTTCTGAATTATTTTATATATATACAGTATTTACAATGTAGATGTAGTATATAGAATAGTTTATATACTAATTTTTTAAAGAAATTATGACTAATTCATGTACTTATTTTTCAAGAAAATACATTTTGTGGCTATTGCATGGATTGATGCATCTTCTTTGGAAGTTGAATCTGACCAATATTTTTGGGGATGATTTATCGAAGTTTTTGGAGCAGTTCCATTCTGAAGTAAATACTTAACAGGGAACTAATTTTGTTACAGCACCAGTGCTTTTTTTAATCCTTTGCTTGATGCTTTGAATGCTTCCTTTGCTTATAGCTACATATATTTCATGCTCACCGTGTTAGTTATCCTTATCCTGTTTCTGTATTTGCTGTATCAAAAGTTGTCAGTGCTACCAGAAGTAGGATCATTCTAGTAAAGTAAATTTAGTAAAACATTACAGCAAACACCTTTATAAGCAACACACTTATAATGATGTGATTTTCATTACCTGCAGTTATGACAAGTTATATGTATGATCTTAACTGATGACAAATTACATTTATAATGAATCAGAGTTGTCTGTTCCTGGCACTTCACTATAAGTATGTTTCACTGCACATTTAATTAAAGAGCATATATCAATAAGGATGTTTAAAAAAAAGTTGTTGCTATTGTACAGATCTCTAGTGATATGAATAAGAAGAGTACAATTCTTGTTTGTACATAACTGTGAATCCAAGAGACCTTAGAAGCTCAAACTTGATAAAATCAAACAACGCTAGCATGCCACCAGAGCTCTTGTTGAGCATGTACTAAGGTCATTGGGTACAAAAATATTACTTTATTTAATCCACACCTTGAAATGGGGAAACAAAAAAGCTTATTTTGGGAAGATTTGTTCATGATTTGAGCATATATCCTACCTGAACCTTCACCCAATGTAAACTTGTATTCTTTGAATTTGAACATTAATAGGCAAAGATTGATAACAACATCAGATACAGAGAAGAGAAAAGATGAGGAGTGTAACTGTACCGTTTATATTGGAGTTATTATTGCTACAGTTGTACTGTTATTGGCCTCAGTGGTAGTCAATATTTGGTATTGCTATAACCATCAACTGCAAAGTGAGTACAACTTAATTATGTAATCTGTTACACCTATTCATAGCTTCCATTGTCTGTCATTTAACAGATTTTTCAAATTGATGAGTAATGTCACATATTTTTGAGAAACTCTTAAAATGTAAAAACGGCTGTTAAGTAAGAATTAACAAATTTAAAACAAATTAAAAAGTTATGCTCTTTATAAAATTTTTATGTATTGTGTGCCCTGTCAATGAAATCTATAATATGATTTGTTTATTGTAAGACTTTAAAATAAGACATATCGAATTGCATTTGTGACAGTTTAAATTATCATCATAGGATGTATTCCAAATAGCACATACACAAAAGTACAGACAGATGAAGTTGCTATGGTAGAAGTGGGAGAGAATAAAAATATCCCCTTACATAGAGTTACAGATTGTCCTTTTGTAGGTAAGACATGAGTTAATTGCATGGACATAGACGAGGTAGAGAATGAGCACACAAAATGTTTTTGTTTTCAATGTACACAATTCCGTCAGCATACTTGGAGTCTGTTTTGAGACCAAACAGACATAGGGATGTGACTTAAAGTTCAATAAAATTTACATGCACTACCCCATACCCCAATATCCTCCCCCTTTCCATCTTCCGACAAACTGCTGAAAACAAAACATACCTTTATTACGAGTAATATTTTCATGTAGGATGATTATTTCTAAACATATATGTATATAACAGTAATATAAAAGTAATGATAAAGTGAAGCTTTCTTCTGATATTTGATCTTAAACACTATGTCGCGTCAGTCTTGTTCTGATCCTTGGAGTTGTGTTTAGGTGTTTGATAAAACTGGAAAGTGTACAGTGGATTCATTGATAACCATATACTCTTTAGATAATGCTTTTTTCCGTAGGCATATGCTTTCCGGTGAAATATATCCATAAATTGAGAAATTTGACAAAGACATACCTTGATCGCCTTTCTATTGCTTTGAAATCATACACCCATGCACAACATAGTCCACCCCGCATGTTGGGATATATACGGTGATATAGAATTGTATCAGCAGCGTCAAAGATTTAAGTTGTGATTGTGTGGCTTGTGGAAAATTGTCCATATCTCAAGAACTTCTTGGCCAGCACATGTATTTGTTATATTTTACAAAGTAACATTTGGCAGAGGTTTTTTTATGCAACATAAAAAAGGGAATGCAACCCTTTAGCAACAGGAAGATACTCTGAAAAAAACCCAATAAAACAGCTTGCTGAGAAATAAATCAGATTTCCACAGAACTTGAAATACTGAAAACAGGGTTATTTTCATCACATTTTATTTTCGCCCTTTTTCCTTTGCAATTATTTTTGCCCCATTTTAAAGTGTCACAGACACAGTTTTGTCAATGAGATAATGCTGTCTTCTTTTGAATTCACCCCGTTTCAAATTCAACCACTAGCCTCAAGGGCAAAAGGAGCAAAAATGAAATGGGGACAAAAAAATCATATGTATACAGTATATTGAAGATATTTTCTCTAGGCATCTCCCTAATTTTACTGATGTTGCCTTAAAATCACATCATTTTGTTTCCTGTGTTTGTTAAACGTCCCTTCGAGGCTCACTTCTACTGAGACGCCACTGCTTGTCGGTGGAGGGTTGCAAATGGTGACCTAAATTATAAGTAATCGGCACCTACTGCTTTTGAGCAGTGAGGGACCTTTTACTGTCTCATTTGAAGATCCCCATGTTCAACAGTTTGATTCGAACCCCCGACGTAAGGATCAACCTCTTACTTTGCGACTCTAAAGCAAACGCTCTAACCACTGCGTCAGGCGGCGACCATTATGTTTTGATATAACTCTTTATTCCTACTAAATCTATAATCAGCATACTGTGTCAGTTAGGCGTATTGCTTTTCCGCAATTTTTTTAATTAATCATTTTTATGTTTCCCCAAAAAGTTAAGTACGATATGTAAAAATCAGGTTTACCTATAGGTAATGTGCTTTCCACAATTTACATGTATATGTCGTCCATGAGAGCACCAGCAACTATACGCAATAGTGACAGATACAAACGTGATTTCCTGTATGAAGAATAATATGCAAATATATCAGAAACACCACTTTTCCAGGATTGAAAGGACTGACAGTTACATATTTGATGTCTGGCCAGACAACTACAAGATGTTCTGGCAGAAGCTTTCATACAAGAATAATAGAAGATTTAATGTAATGCTTACTGCTACACTGTAGAGCTATAATCAAAAAGTTAAAAATAAAGATAACTAAGTAACTACATGTACACTGTAGGACCAACATGTGCTTTCAGAATTGTTGAGTTATTTATAGACAAAGCCTACTTATCCTAAATATTAAAAAAATATTATCCGAAACACTCTATGGCTTATAATAATCAAACATTTTTGGTTCATGCATCTGGAGGCCACCAATGTCAAAACTCAAAATGAAATATTTGGAGATAACGAACAGTATTCAAGCTCAAAAGTCCATTAAACATTAAATAAATAGGTGTAGCGCAAACACGGACCTCTAAAACATCAGAGGTGGGATCAGGTACCATGGAGGAGTGAGCATCCCCTGCCAACCGGTCACACCCGCCGTGTGCTCCTTGTCATGATCGGGAAATAACGGAAAAATCCGTCGACAATTCAGTGTGTTAATAATGGCCTAACAATTAGTATGAAAAACGTCAGTCAGCATCTGACTCAATGATAAATTGTATTTGCTGACAAGGTCGTAAGATTTTCTACAGTCGTCATAGTGATTTCATAAGCAGATCACATTCACTACTTTGGAAATGTAGGACTGTTCATTTGCAGATTGAGTTTAAATATGTTAAATACGTAATTAATGACAAGTAGTCTCATACGTTTGTAAGTGGTCTCTGATCTATGGTTTATTCCTTATTTATGCATTTGTTTTTATTTATTTACACGTGTTTATATATTTCAATTCTTTAAAGAATACATATTTTTGATTTCATAACTATTGAATTCTTTGCATTTTTCAATGAAAGAAAAATTTTAAAGACATTTAAGGTCGAACAATCCCCTTTCTTTAAATTAACAACTGAGTACATTAACTAAGATAAAATCTTAAGTAAACAATTGTTTATTTCATATTTATTTAATAGCTTAATTTTGGTACATTTACTTACATGTGAAATTAATATTGAGGTTTAATATTTAAAAATTTTATGTTTTTGTTTTTTTTTTTGAATTTCAGATGACATTGACAAATATATCTTAGTCGACTACACAATTGAGAATGCAGAAATATTTAAACTCTTGAAGATTCAATGTCTGAATGGCGTACATATTGGGTTCCATTATGTTAACAAATCAAGAGTTACACAACTTAACAAAAATGCTATTTTCCATCAACGTGACGAAAACGGTTGTACTTTACTTCATTATGCTGCCCAAGGTGGATCGATAACAATATTCAAAGAAATTCTGAAGACTGACCCAGAGATAAACATCGGAATTAAATGTTTTCGTGGTCAAACTGCTTTGCATTTCGCGGTAAGATACAAACAAAATAAGATGAGTGAATACCTCATCACAGAGCATAGAGAGTGTTTTATGTCAGGAGACAAAGATTTGCTCAGTGTGTCAAGAATTGCAGAAAGGGATGAAACTGCTATCATTCCCAACGTGATTGGCCAATTTGAACCATTCCACTGGATAGCATGGAATGGAGATACATGGCTGCATCATTTATGGAAAGAAGCACATTTTACTGTGACAGGTTTAACGAAAAACGGTTTAAATATTTTAGATATTGCCTGTATGAATAATCAGTATGAGTTTTGTAGGCACATAATAGATAATGAGAAAGAAATCAACATTGAAAAAGTGGACGCCAGTGGGTGGAATATTGCCCATTACGCAACAATGTGGAATAATGTAAAATTACTGGAGCTTTTGGCTGAAAAAACAGAAAGCCAAATGATTTTGGCTGTGACAAAATTAGATAAAACAACTCTGCATATTGCATGTGAACTTGGGCATTTTGAGGTAGCCAAACATTTAGCAAAAGAATACAAGGATCTTCTGTGGTGCACGGATAACCTCGGGTGGAATGCTTTACACTTTGCTGTCAAGGGTGGAAATAAGCAAATTTTTGAATTATTATTAAAGAAGGGTTTAAAAATAGATTCTCTGACAAAGGACAAAAAGACACTCCTACACATTGCGAGTATCTATAAACAAATAGAGATATGCAAGTATGTAGCCAAAACTTTCTCAGAACATCACAAAGAACTTATGAATCAGAAGACGACAAACCAAGGCTGGTCAGCTGCTCACTATGTTGGTGTTGAGAAAAGGGATTTACGGAAACAAAAGGAAGTCATTGATATTTTACGTCAATATGGAATGAATCTAAAAGAGAGAACCAGTCAAGGAGTTTCTGTTCTTGATGTTGCGATTGTTTACCTTGACAAAGAACTAATAAAACTCATCTTATCTCGAGAATACAGAGAAATTCTGGATATGAATAAAGAAGTCATTCTAAAAGGCAAGACACATACTGATGATAAACTGATTTTAAAGATTCTGGATGATGCTGCAGAGAAAATTGAAGCCGAATGTCGATAAAATCTTTTTTTTTCCAGGCCTGTGAATACTCTGTATACATTTTCTAGATCTGAACATTACCTGATGTCAAAATTTTTCAGCGACAATTATCTTTTTGAACTGGACAATAGTTTAGAATGAAAAAAAAATTCGACGAATCTTTTTCAGGGATTGCCTTATTTCGTACAGACAATTAAAAATGAGAATTTCTATCTAAAAATTAGGAATGCATAAATGAATTGCATCTAATGTATCTACAATTTTGCCATTTATAAGGTGCGTTGCACTCATTGCATTCATTCATCTAAGCCTATTCTTAATAAACATCATGGGCAGAGAACCTAACAAATTTTATTCCATTTAAAATAGTGCAATACTTTGCTGAGATAAATACTTGGCTTAGCCAGTGATCTTCAGCTGTTTATTGTTTCATGTCTTCATCGTCGTTCTTTATTTTTTACTTATATGATGTTTTTAATAACTACATTTGTAGTGCTGTTTTAAGATTTATTATTCTTAATTATATTGTTAATGAAATACTCTTATGACTTGTAGTACTTTATAATCTGGTTTCAAGAAATAAAGATGCCAAGTTTAAATTCTTTCTTTTCAGATTCAGACAGTGTGTGTGAATTTCACATTGGCCTCAAAGTATTTATTTAACCAGCAGATTCCAAAAACAATGAACACCTATAATTTTCTGATCGATGTTTCTCCATCGTCTTTAACTTGGAAAGGACTACGTTTTTATGCCCCGCGTTGAATATGTTAATTTGTTATATCTGTCTTCAAATATCCAAATCTGAAACATATGTGTCAGACTCTTTGGTCTTTTATCTCAAGTTTACTGGGATATATTGAATCACCATGCGAATGGAAATACCTATTGCAAGCGTTTTTTTCTTCTCTTGTAGAAGTTTGTGAATACATTATGCTTCATATGAATACAAAAATAGGCCAGTTTATAAAAGTGTACAAGAATTTTTAATACATATAAAACATACAGTACTTTTGTATTTTTAATGGTCAGATATACTTATAAACAAAAAATATTAGACAAAAATACCATATATTTGTACATTGCAAGACCAGGAGAAGCCAACGATATGAAGATCCTTCTGGGTTTACTATGTTAATGCATTGTTTCAAATTAAAGTACTATTGTTAGGTTTTGTGTAGTTATCACTGGCACATACACGCAAGTAAATAGATCTACTTTCTGAGTTGTTGCTGTTTACCAGACTGACTCTTTTGTTTTAAAATCCCTGATTATTCTATTTCCCTTCTTTTGAGCAACATATCTTCATCAGTCAGTTGTTTTATTATTTATTTAATTGCAATCAATTATCCTTTACAGGGTTGTATTATATATATACTCAGGTGATCATTAAGGTCCCTTGTTTAAATCCATACAGGATTACGTCTTACAACTTCATACACTTAAACTCTCTATGAAAACACTATGCTATTATATGGGATGAATCAGCACAACACACTTGTACTATGCTAAAATATAGAATTTCCCATGGTATATGGTTGGATATGATTTTTATTAGCTCACCTGAGCCAAAGGCTCAAGTGAGCTTTTCTGATCAAAATTTGTCCGTTGTCTGTCGTCAGCGTCGTTGTTGTCGTAAACTTTTCACATTTTCATCTTCTTCTCCAGAACTACTGGGCCGATTTCAATCAAACTTGGCACAAAGTATCCTTGGGTGAAGGGGTTTCAAGTTTGTTCAAATGAAGGGCCACGCCCTCCTCCAAGGGGAGATAATTACAAAATAGCAAAAAATTAATGGCATTATTGAAAAATCCTCTTCTCAAGAACCAGTGGGCCAAGAAAGATGAAACTCACGTGGAATTACTGTCAGGTAGTGTAGATTCAAGTTTGTTCAAATCATGACCCCCGGGGATAGGGTGGGGCCACAATGGACGATCAAAGTTTTACATAGGAATATATAGGAAAAATCTTCAAAAATCTTCTTCTCAAGAACAGCAAAGCTATGATTGGTCATATTTATATGGAAGCATCCTCAGGTGGTGTAGATTCAAGTTTGTTCAAATCATGAGTTTTACATAGGAATATATAGAAAAAAATCTCCTTCTAACATGCAAAAATACAAACAACGACAACAAAGACACGTAACACAATTTACCCCGCAATTCCTCAAACCACGGCCTCTACGATTGTTCCAGTGGATTGACAACATTTATGTTCTAGGAAAGTAGGCGTTGTGCATAATTGCATGGAATACTTCGACTTAAAAAGTACATTGTACAAAGTTACAACAAAAACAGTTAACCTGTACTGTCTTAAAATCGCTTAACAAAGAATCACTCGGCAATTTTATTATAAAAATCATTTTAAATATAAAGATGAGATAAGGAATGACATTTGTACTGAGTTATACATAAAATGACACCTATAAAATACATGTAGATCATATAAAGTATTATTTTTTTTAATAGCATATACTTTAAAAGATTTAACAAGTACTACAACTTTACATTTGCATAGGGTATTCGAACAACTTAACGAATCATCAGACTTTGCCATTCTGCAGTAAAATCTCATTTTTTTTAGAATTTCAAATTTTTGACAAGTATTTTGCCGTAAAATAGTGGAAATTAAAAAAACAGATCATTATTAAGATTATGATAATGGACCTGTGTATACGTTAAAGCACGCTATCTTATCGGGAATGTTAGTGATGTAAGTAAAGGTGATCTTTTACCGACGAAACAGATTGATGCTACAATGTGATTTCTCTCAAATGTAATCCACAAAGAGTGTATTTTTGCAATAATTACAAATTAAACTTGTATCAGATTATACAGACAATCTTTATAAGGAAGATTACTATCCGTTGAAGAACATATAATATGGAGATAACGAACAGTATTCAAGCTCAAAGTCATATATTTGCAAGAGAACTTTGTCCTGTATAACCATTAAGCCGAAACGATTGGTTTAAATCCACAACGCGGACTTTTGCTATCGCGATGTTTTTCATATATGTGCATTGGTAAGCTTAAGGCATGAGCACAACATATTAATCGTATTTCAGAGCTTCAGTATTAATCAAAATTATTCCAAAATTATTGCTTTTATTATTCTTTTTTCATAAAATTTTATGATTTAAAAAAAAAATGTTCAAATGATTTCAAAATTTGTCTATCCTTGAACATTGATTAAGACAACATGTTACATATGAAGTAATATTACGAGTCAGTAGATTTATGCACCATTAACAACAATATAAACGTTTATCCTAATTGATTAAAGCGACTTCAGTCAGATCGTCTTATAAGCAGAACTATAGCTGAGGAAAGGATAATTTTTGATAAATTAATCGTGATGATTACATGGTTCTTGTAAATGGCTTTTTCATTTAAAATGAAATGCATACACACTGTCTTCCATGAAATCACAGACACTTCATGTTGAAATGCAACAGAATTACAGTAGAATCAAAAGAACTGACTGTATTTTCTTGTGAAATTTAAGGGCAATTAGCACATAAATTAATTGGTATTTTGTGGTGGTTGTCCCTGAATCACATTTTCAGCATAGGTGGGTGGGGGCATTGGCTGGGATACCGGGTCTGGAGGAGGATGTTGTCCATGCCCAGGATAGGCGGGACCACTAACATGTACACCCCATACTTGTGGCTGTGCTCCCCATACGTGTTGCTGTACACCCCATCCATGTTGTTGAGGATAGCTGGGATATGAGTTGTATGTTGCTAAAATATCAAAATCGAAAGAAAGTAATCAAGAATTTATTCTAAAATGTAGTGATGAAATTATAAAGAAGTAGCTAATTGATGTTCTTAAGGTGAAATGACTGAAAAGTTATCTATGATTATATCGTGATACTGTATACAGGGAAATTTTCGCCCCCGTTTTATTTTCGCCCCTTTTGACCTCGTCGCAATGGGGCGAATTCAAAACGGGGCAAAATCGTCTGCAGATATAAACGGGCGAAAATAACCTTGTATACAGTACTATTTTGCATTAAAGAAAATTAGTGAACCTGTTGTACTTATGGCTGAGACATTTGAGGGTTGAATAACCCGTCCTGTTGTTTTCTTCTTGCAGACAACAACACAGATAATAGCAACGATGACACACAAGATGATTAATCCAATAATTCCTCCAATAACGGCTCCGATGATTGTTCCAACAGGTCTGTAATATTTATGTTTTAAAATGAAATGCATAGATAACTTGGAGGATTATAAAGAGGGGCTTTTATCTAACTTAGGTATGTTAAGTATTGATTATTATACATAAATTTGAAGAAAACACTGCACTACTATATGTGTTTAATCAAGACAATATAGAAAAGCGATGCAATCTGTAGTTCTTCCTACAATATATGTTCAAAAGATGATAGCTTTAACAAGCATTCATGATCGAATGAATGAGTAAATTAGTTTAAATTGATTCTAAATTGCATATTTACTTATATTTACATTTGCAATTGTTTTTACTTAATATATAACACTATCTCAAAAAACGCGTTTTTAATCCAGTATAAAAACAGTTTTGTCACATGTCCTTAAAAATTCATTGTTCAGTTAAATTCATAGTGATCGATGTCTTATGTGCTAGACGTGTTCAACACATTCAGTTCATAACCATGAGGTTTGAAAAAATCAAATCATTTGATGAGTTTAAAACTTTAGTACACAAATATTTGTTGTAAATCAGTCTCAAATCTAAATATGTAATAACTAAAGGTATTATTTTAAAACTTTTATCAGGATGTAAATACGGGTTGGTACTGATCAAATCTACCATAAAGCCTGGATTGTATGGGATTTGATCACATGATCAACCCAAATCCCGATAAAACTTAAAAAATGAAACATTATTTCTGAAGAGAAGCAAATTAGGTTTGCTTCTGTCTGCCAATTCTGTTATCTCTAACCTCTAACAATTTCTTTTAAAAAAAACTCCCGACTACTACTGTATTATATTTGACAAGACTGTTGGTAACTTTTTTATCAGTAAAGCTCAAATAAAAATAGGCAGTCGTTTATCTGAAAGAAAGTGTACTACCAGCATGAAAAAGTTTATTTATTTAGCTTCAGCTTTTGTGTCAAGAAAGCCAAATATTCCACATAATTTACACTTATTTCAATTATGAAAACCTTGATTAAGACCATAGCTCTGATGAGCTGATTATTGGAATGGGTATAATATTTGGATTTATTAATTGGGAATATTACACATGTATATTCTGTCACTATTTCTTAAGCAACTTTGCTCTTAAACATCAAGTTGAAAATACTTACACTTCATAATAACAGTGGTAGTAGGAGGAATAGATAGAGTTGTAGTAGTTATAGTAAATACATTCACTCCCCACTGACGCTGAAAAAAAACCCATATCCTTATATACGAAACGAAAAAATATACAATATTTTCAGAGAAAAGGCTTAGTTTGTGCTCTTGTTAGTAAACAAGTGCTCAAAGCATCTCAATAAAAACATATTACCTTCAACAAAATAATTTCTTGCCAAACATTATAAAATAATTATAGGATGGAATGCAGGATCAGATATATGCTAATCATGATTCTTGAATCTAGAAAACTTATTTTTCCTCGATCCTCAATTAACAAAATCTTCATCATTACACTCATTGAAAAGCAAATACAATGTAAGAGCATTATTCCTCCACAGTCATTGGTATATCATCCAAGTTTGTCAAATTCCTGAAAATTCTATCAAAAAGTGATCATAATATACAATTCCATTCTTTGAAAATAAACATGGGAATTTGACATGTTTTGATAAACAATATTGCTGCATTCTGCTTCCTAAATCATTGATTAAATTATTCAAATATATACATGTATTACGAAACACAATTGTTGCCAAATCTGAGATGAATTCTGTACTTCATACTACTACTAATGGGTTATTTCAAAGTTATTGAAAAAATAAATTGCAAAACTCTCTCCAACCGATCAATATACGTTCTAGCAAAAATATTGAATGGGAAAGAAATCTGTTTTATACTGAAGTGCAGAAAACTTTAATTACTTTTTCTTACCTATTAGTACGGAAGGTAAAATGAGGCACATCAAAAGTATTGAAACGGTCATGTTGATTTCCGAATCAAATCACTACTTCTGTTTCGTTTTTATTGAGTAACGTCTTATCTATTTAAACTGTACTGTTCTGTGGTTATTTATTTGCATAGACTTTTGATAAAATTGAAAACCGTTAATCGATATGTAGAGAAACTAGGTCTAATTTTGAAGCAGACGGATATTTCCGGATTGGACGGGGAAATGAATGATGAATATGCAGTGTAGCAGAAAATAATAATTTTTTGTTTTAAAATAATTTAAAAATGACAAATAGATCGATGTAAAAATCTGTAACGTGTTTACTTTTATTAAACTTCAATACCCATAGAAAGAAAGTTTTGTAAGGAAGAGTAAAACAAAAGCTATTGAGGGTAAGTAGATAGTTATATGCATGTACTTGCAACCCTTGGACAATGAATACAACTGGGTTTTTTTTAATCATTGAAAGGGTCAAGTGTACTAAAGGTTAAAGTATCGTATAGTCGATCAAAATATGGATCCTCGCCTCAGTTTATGAGATCGTTTTGCTCTTGCAATGAGACAATATGTTAATTTTTTTTTCTTAGTGAAAGAGTTTTTTTTTCAATTCAGTATATGCTAATTTAAACTGAAACAAGGCTTAAAATCTAGGGAAAAAATGTTAAGGTGGATGACCTCAAACTTATAGGTTGCAAGAATATAGTGTGAGTAATTAACATACAAAATATTGCATTCTTATAAGTTGGTAGGAAAGGATGGGAATTGAAATGAGCATAATTGCGATTATTTCTGGAATTTTTTTTTTCAGAAAATGACTACTTTAGGTTATTTTTTTCGCATTATATATTGTTTGTAACTTGAAAATAAAAAAAAAAATCTCTCGCATTAGAAGCATAACCGCTTTTCTTAGGGTTAAGATATTTATACTTAGGCTCATATATACTGTTAATCATGCTAACACTTGTACTTAAAGAATGAGTGGTCTCTTTGCATTTATCTACAAAGCAGTTTATACATATACATGAAAATATGAAGTACAGTAGAACATTTCTACAATAGCAATGTCTTGTTGTCATGTGTCATGAATCAAAATTGGAGCAAAGATACGTTATTGTCGCCATTTGAATTTTGGCATCAAACTTGAGTGAATTTTAGATTACATAATCAATATTAATAGTAGGCGGGGCTATCGATCAGGTCCTCTCGATCGATCGATCGATCGGTCGGTCGATTGAAAGTCGAATAGGCTAAAACAATTACAGTGTTGTCAATACGAAATTAAAAGATTTCCTTAGTAAATATTGTAAGGACAAACACAATTTTAACAATTTGCTCAATTCTGCCAATGGCAAACCAACCAAACACGCTATCAGGATCACGTTTTAGAATAATTGTGTTCACAATTTCTCTTGCAGTTAGTATCATTGATTTATATTATGGAAAGAAATTAACATTTTATGTAACTCGATTTACGACTTTCTTTTCAGAAGTCTTAAGTCCACTCATTCTTTACAGTCATATCTAAAATAAAACAAGTCAAAGATAACTATTTTATACAAATACAAATTCATTAATTACCTGCATCTACAAAAACAGTTCATAAGAAACAACAGAGAGGTTGAGATAACAAAATTTTATCAATAATATAACGTATTTACAGATAAAACACAGAATTTCTTTTTTAAATTTATGCTCTAAATTCACAAAATTTAACTGAAGATGTTCTTAATATTTTGGACTACTATAGGAAAACTGATTTTCAACTGGTTGTCCGAAACCGTTTTGTTGTCCGTACTGCGTTGTTTGTCCGTACTGAGTTGCTTGTCCGTACTGAGTCGCTTGTCCGTACGTCGGTGGCAATCCGCTCTGAGGTTGGCCATACATAGATGCTCCTGGCTGTCCAAATTGCTGCCCAGGTGGGACCACTAAAATATGAGAATTTCTTTTCATTATTTTCATATATCCCCCATTTTATTCTGATACTATTAATACTGGTTTCTATATTTTTTTCCAGTTTAAGTTACCATATGATAAATGTTATATATATATATATATATATATATATATATATATATATATATATATATATATATATATATATATATATATATATATATATATATATATATATATATATATATAAGAATATATAAGAAAGGAAATTTTTATGACCAGAAATTGGTACTTAACTAGGAAATATAAATCAACATGGGTGGAAAGTGTTAAAATTCTAAGAGAGTTTATAATAATAGTACGGAATATTTTTGAAAGTTTTCTTTGGCTTCAATCATGTAAATAAAGAAAAGACAGTCATACCAACTAAATCTGATGGTGTATAAATAAAAAAATACGCTCATGAAAACGCCCGAGCTACATGTAATTATATTTATCATCGTAAAAATATGGTTTATTGTTTCAAATGACTTTCATTATGCCCCTTATCTGATAAATTTATATAGACATTTTAACATCATAAATAGAAGAAAAGTAGTTTATAAAAATTTTCCTAAATCATTATTCTTAGGCCAAGTACAAAATACAGTATTAAAATCTCTTTAACTTTTTTTTATATGTCAATGATTTCAAAGGAGTCCTTTTAAACAAAACATATATATATATATATATATATATATATATATATATATATATATATATATATATATATATATATATATATATATATATATATATATATATATAATTAGCTGCACTTATTTTCTATTCTGAAGAAAAAGCAAAGATCGTTATTTTATGCTCAGTCAGTGTTGAGAACCAACTTTTTTTTATGGAAATTATCGTTATCGCTACGAAAGCGTATTGCAGTCGATTGAAATTATATTTTTCTATTTTTTTATGTCCTATGTACAAGATACTAAGTCGTACGAACGAGATATTAAGTCGTGAGTACGAGATAATATTGTACATATACGATAATTAGTCGTACGAGCGGCATAAGTCGTAAATACGAAAATATGCCGTACGAACAACATATACTAATAATGAATAAGTGAGTACGACATAATAACTTGTATTATTACGTCATAATAAGTAGTGCATATGAGAACTGCTAAGTTGTAATAAGGAGATACATGTACTAAGTCGCTGGTACGAAATAACAAGTTGTAATTATTAGAAAATAACTTGTAATAACGAAATGGTAGGTCGCACTTACGAGATACTAAGGCAGCCTACTGACAGATAAGTTGACGTAACAGAGATTTCAACAATCTCGTTTAACGTCAGCATTTCGTGTGGTTGTTATAATGACCTTGTTAGCATATATAAATTTCATTTGGTCGTGACGTGTTTCATACCAATTGTTATGACTTTGTTTTTAATAAAATTCGGAATATTTTGTCTACCTGATCAATACGTAGGGTTCACGGCGGAACTGACCGATCGCCATGAGATGGTAACTCCTCCTAGGCACCAGATCTACCTCTGGAATTTTCGATGGTCCGTGTTTTATGCCCTGTTTACAGTTTTGTATTGTTTGTAGATTTTATTTTAGATCGATCACTGTTCGTTATCTTCTTATCTTCACTTTTTAAATTGTAATTTTGAGATGATAAGTCTTAATAACAAGATACTAAGTCGAAGATACAAGATACAAAGTCGTAATTATATAATATGCCGTAGGTACTAAGTCCTGATACAGAGAATACCCTTGCAAAAATTTACTATAGTTAACTATAGTTCACTATAGTTAACTATAGTAAAAACTATATAGTTAACTATAGTGAAAACTTTCATACTTTGATTTACTATGAAACTTTACTCTGGAACTTTTTTTGAGATTTCCAAGCTTAGCTTGGAAATAATATGTGAATATAAAATTAATATTTCAATTTAATATAAAAAAAATGTGCATAGTAAAAATACTTTGATTTACTATAGTGAAAAAAACTTTGATACTATAGTAAACTATAGTGTTACTTATAATAGTACTTTTCTGTTAGGGTAGTCGTAATTACGAAATATTTAGTCGTACTATCGAGATATTAAGTCGTAATTACGAGAACATAGGTCGTACGAACGACATATTTCAAGTCGAGTATTCGAAGGCCTAGTAAGTTGTAATTACGAGACATTAGGTAATACGAGCCGCAGAAAGCGATGTTTTGAGAAGTGCTAATATTCCAATCATGTTTTTTTTCCACAGGATTCAGTTCTGTGGGTGAATGTTTAATCCCCTTCAGTTGTCCATGTTTCTCTTTGATTCCGTGCCGCGCTCTACTGAGGATCAATAAAAAATAAAGTACACAATGTATTTCAATTTTTTCACTCATTTAAGCATTGTTTCATTTCAGATTAAAAATAATTTAATTTTTTTTTCTTTCAACTCATCATACCAGCAAACCTTATCGAACGGCGAGTTGTCAATAAATAATAGTATTCACAGGATATAATTGGCACGCTATTCAAGAAATTATCAAATAGAACTTTTACTAAAGATACTTGTTACCTGGTTATCCGATTGAAGAAAAGTTATTCTAAAAAATCAGTATTTAAACCTTCAAAATATATATTTATAATATTTATTGATTTAACAATGTTTAAATATGGACTTACCTTGTTATTTTGACATATTATGTCGTACCTAGCTTATGTCGTTCGTACAACTTAAAATCTCGTAATATCAACTTATGTCGCTCGTACTACGGAGTATTTTGTAGGTACTAATTTTGATTCGTAATACTGTTAAAATAACTCAATTTATCAATTTTCTTGATAAAATATACAATTGTCTTTTAATTTACGTTGTTAGGTATTATTACTAAGTACTATTATGTGCATAGGCCGAGTCTGCAATGGGCCGACCTAGTAATAGTCCGACATTGTTATAGTCCGACTCTGTTCTAGTACCCGGTACTACATGTACAGTGTACATATCTCGTAATCACAGCTTATTATCTCGTACGTACGACATAGTATCTCGTTCGTGCGACCTTGTACAGTGTATCTAGTATATACATAGAAAAATATAATTTCAAGTAGCACTTATAAGCTTCTGTATCAACACAGCTACTTGAACATATATAAATATAAATTGGATTGTGATATGTTTAACCGGAATATGAGGGATTATTGATACAGCAGAAAATGACAAATTACCACAGCCTGGGTTGGAAAAAATGTTCTGAGGAATTATTTTGTTTAATGTTACATAAAAATGAGATGTAATTATGTATCCGACTTTTACTTACTTTGACCAGGATATGTTCTTTGTTTTACTTTACAACATCCACATTTTATACAGATTATTATTACCACTGGAACGGCTAGCATTGACAAGCAAGAGACAACAATTATAACAATCGTCAATGCATCTCTGTAAACGAAGAAAAAAAAACTTCAAATGCTTATATGGGACTCGGTGCATACTTTTTTGAATTAGAGGTAATTTTAATTTTCTACTATAATGGCATTTGTTTTTACATCAATGATATACATGTAGCAACAATTTCGAAAAGATCCATCAAATTAATGGAGTATTTGAACAGAAAAGTGTATGAATGAACACCAAAAGTTGGTGCCGTTGCACTTGATAAAAAAAGTGTAAAAGAGTGTACACAATATATACTCTTACAGAAAGCAAATTTTTCTGGCGTCTTGATTGTGGAATCTTTAGACTGACAGATAAGTTGATGTTACTGGGATTTCAACAACCTTGTTTAGAATCAGTATTTCGTAAATTCTATAGTCGATATAATGACCTTGTTCGCAAATTGAACCTTTCATTTTGGTCGTATTTTTGCTGATGTTTTTCATACCAATTGTTATACTTTTGTTTTTATACTAAATTTGACTATGGAATAAAGCGTCTACCTGATCAATACATTGGGCTCAAGGCGGATTTTTACTCCTCCTAGCCACCTGATTCCATCTCTGGAATTTCCAGGGGTCCGTGTTTTATGCCCTCTTCACCGATTTGTGTTCTTTGTGGAACATTTTTATTTAGATCGATCACTGTTCGTTATCTTCTCCTTTTTCATATGTTACACAAAGGGTAGGGCATTGCTTTTTATATATATAAAGAATGTTCTGATATGCAGTTATTCATAATGACGGAGATCAAATCCGTCGCGTGATCGGGAGGCCCGGGTTCGATTCTCGTTCGTAAACCCGCGTCAAATCTAAGACAGAAACATAGGTAATGACTGTTCCTTCGCCAAACGCCAGGCACTAGAAGTGAAAGTCACGAGTCTTTCGGACGAGACCTTAAACACTGAGGTCCCGTGTCACGGTAGGCGTTTGGCACGATAAGGAACCCTCATGGTCAATGAGTGCCGAGTGTAGGTCTAAATTTGAAGCCCTTCACCGGCAAACAGTGACGTCTGGGTATGGGACGTTAAATTACATACAATCAACCAATCACATCCGTCATCTTACATATCTGAACCCCGTTTTACAAAAGAACTTAAGACTAAGACCAAAATTTAATTTTCGAATAATTTTCTGTCTCACAATAATTTTTAAATAGTTTTAATCTTTCTCAAGAAGTAGAAAGGTGTTTCTATGCAAGATTTTTAAATCAATTAAAGTTTTTTGGTCTTGGTCGTTAGTTCTTTTGTAAAAAGGTCCCCAGGGTAATAAAATAAAGAATGATATTAATTAATAATGAAACGTAAAACACTCTCTCACAGCCCTGTGGAGACGTAGGATCTTCGAGATCTGTAGGCTCCTGACGCAAAATCCACCACCTCTGTAACTGTTAAAAATAAAATTGAAAAGAACACATCAGTCAGAATGTAAAATTATTATTTTTAATTCTAATTAATAATCTGTATATATCTTTTAAAGTGCGACATTACATATAGAACGGTCTGTGTTTGGGATAAATTACACACAGTGAACTTCTTTAGTCGAATATGTGAAGTATGCAAAACGCGTTCAAATAAAAACAAAACAAACTGAAATGTCAAGTTGTGCAAATCATTATTGCATGCTGGAGATTTGTTTTCCGTACCTTGCTGTGAATCCCTTTAACTCTTTTGAAACATCTATTTAACAAAAGGCCTATGGGCCACATCGCTCACCTGAGCACTTTGGCTAGGAAAAAGCAGAAATCAGTTCAGTATTGAAAAGTTTAAAGGGGGATGATTTGAACAAACTTGAATCTACACTCCCTGAGGATGCTTCATAATTAATATGACTAATAATGGCTTTGCTGTTCTTAAGAAGAATTTTTTTATTGATATATCCTTAAAGTGACACCGTGACGGAAAAACGCGAAAATCGGCAAAAGTAGAATTTATGCATGACATGCAAATTTTGTTCAGTTCTTGAAAGCATTAGGATTCAGAAAATTACAGTTTCAGAACCTAAAAATCTACTTTAATGGAGAAAAATAAAAGTAAAAAAATCTTTGTATAACCCAACACAAAAATATTGCTTCACTTCCCCCTCTTTATTGTACGCATGCGCTTCAAGTTGAAGAATATACTATGTTTTTAATTCCATAAATATATATGTCGGATGACCGAGAATTTTTATACAATCTTCAAAAAAGATGATCAGAACTTATTTCTCAATTTAATGTTGTTTACAAGTTTCACGCTAAAAATAAAGGACGCGTGACCTTGACATGGTGGACATTTACGATAAAAACCAAACGATAGATACAACATTTGTTTTTCCGGCACTTACATTTTGCAGCTTTTTTCTTGCTTTACAGTGCAGTTGATTTGCCAAAACTTTGCTATATTCATATTTCACATAAATCTTTTGTTTTCTGATACAACTTTCTTAAAAGAAACACATGATTTTGACATTTATATAATTATGTTCCCCTGGTATGGCCCCTTGATACTCCTTGGGGGGGGGGGGTGTCATGATTTGAACAAATTTGAATCTACATTACCTGAGGATGCTTTATATTCTTAAGACCAATCATGGCTTCACTGTTCTTGAGAATAAGATTTTTAAAGATTTTTCCTATGTAAAACTTTGATCATCCAATGTGGCTTCACCCTACCCCCGGGGGTCATGATTTGAACAAACTTGAATCTACACTACCTGAGGATGTTTCCATATAAATACGACCAAACATGGCTTTGATGTTCTTGGAAAGAAGATTTTTGAAGATTTTTAAAGATTTTTCCTTTGTATTCCTATCTAAAACTTTGATCGCCCACTGTGGCCCCACCCTACCCTCGGGGTCATGATTTGAATAAATTTGAATCTACACTACCTCACAATGATTCCACATAAGTTTCATATTTTCTAGCACAGTGGATTTGAGAAGAAGATTTTTAAATGATGCCATTAATTTTTCACGAATTCCTAATTACTAGTATCTCCCCATGGAAGTAGCATGGCCCTTCATTGGAACAAACTTGAATCCCCTTTATCCAAGAATACTCTCTGCCAACAGTGATTGAAATTGGCCCAGTGGATCTTGAGAAGAAGATAGAAATGTGAAAAGTTTACAACGACAACGACGATCACAGACAACGGACAAATTTCGATCAGAAAAGCTCACGTGAGCCTTGGGCTTAGGTGAGCTATATATAAAAGAGATTTGGACATCGTGTTGTAAAATACTAGTAGGTATTATTGAATACTCTCTCTATGGTTTTCTAAAAAAACTCTTAAAATGTCAAAAAAAGGTAAAAAGGTATGAACTGGAACTCTTTAAAAGGAGGTTACATTTTTTATGTTATCCATCATTAAACTGAGTGTAATATAGCTGTGTGTACACACAACCAACACTCCTTATTTAAGAAATTTTCTGGACATTATATAGTAAAAAAACGAATTAGAAATGTAAAGTAACATACTTACATATAAAGATTATTAGAATAAGGATCCGTAAAATCATTTTTCCGCTTGTCATGTTGATACCTTTATTAAACCCTTCGTACCGAACTCGCAGGTTTCGAAATACTTATGACCTAAAAAATAAATTCCTCGTGGGAATATCATGTTACTATTGTATTAAGTTATGATTTTATCTGTGCAGTTGAATATAAATGCAAGACCATTGTTGCATTTATTATGGTATCGAATTTTTTTCATTTCTAGATAGGACTAAAATCAATAGGTAGATATTGTTTACGTTTGCTGTCTTTATATTTCATCTGCCTAGCTGACTGCATCATTTCTAACACGGTAAAGAAATAACAATTGTTATTGAAGATATCTCCATTCTATGGTTTTTCGTTTTTGTAAATAGATTAAAAAAAACCTTATCTATTGATAATATTTACAAAATGTTGAAATTTCTTTGTACCAAATGGATTAACTTAACCTGAAAATTGTAAACACATTCTCAGTACTATGTAAATCCTTGATTCATATGTGAAAGGGATCTTCCTATATAGAACCTTGTTTATTTTATAGATATGAGGAACTTTCAATAATGAATCAAGGTACATGAATATTTTATTATGCAATATCTGTTCTTGACAATCAGTAATAAGACTAAAGAGATTGTTTTCCTGGTGATTCTGAGATTATTGATTTCCTGAGTCAATATCGAATAAAAATCATCAACATGAAAAATCATGAAAACAGGAAAAGTTTAAATGTTGGGTTAAACTAATAAATACATTTCAGCTGTCCTTACATGTACCCTACTCTGTTTGTTTAGCTTTTGTGTTTCACTGATCGAGGAGTTCGACCCGTGATTTATACCACAATTAAATTCCTTTCTTTAATAGTGCAGAAGGTTCACATCTAGGTCAAATCCGAACTAAACTAAAAAAGTTTTAAAACACCATGGGTAGATCGATGTCGTGACGTCTATGGTAAAAATAGTTTATGTCTGCATTTATGCCACCGAGGATCGAAGGAGTGTAATGTTTTATTCCTGTCGATCCTTATGCCTGCGAAACTTTTAAACTTGGTTTTAACTTTTGAAATGTAGTAGGTACACTCTCCAAGATTAGCTCCCATAATTCTTGTAATGTCCTTTCAAAAATCGTGCTTGTCTGTTTGTTTGCAAGAGTTTATATATACTAACCTGACTGGTATCGCTTAATATATAATATAATCTGTGCGTTTACCCCTAAGAGAAAGGAACTAAAGTAAACTATAAATAACTATAGTTTACAATAGTATCAAAGTTTTCACTAAAGTAAATCAATGTTTTTTACTAATGTTAATCAAAGTATAGTATTTTTACTGTGAATTTCAGATCGTTATTTTTTTTTAATTCTTAGAATCAATTTCCTTAAATTAAAAGAAAATGTTACTTGTAAATTTACATATAATTGCAAAAATTTACATCATTGAAATATATTTCAAAAAATATTAAGGCTCTAAAATTTCAAAAAAGTTCTAGAATAAAGTTTTATAGTTAATCAAAGTATTAAAGTATTTACCATAGTTAGCTATAGTAAACTATAGTTAATTATAGTAATTTTTTGTTAGGGCCGGAAGTATTTCCGGGGGAGGGGGGTTGAGTTTGAATTCATTGGGATTTTCAGTGTTATTAAAGGGGCTGGGACACAGTCAGCGGCACTAAAGGGCGGACAGTCAGATGTCCATTTGGAAAAGGGGGTTGGCCTGGGGTACCTCAAGGTCACACTTAAATGAATATCGCAGATACAGCTCAATTTCCGGGTTTAATTCCTCCTGGTACTCTGAGCAGCGTGAACCGCAAAATTCCAGCTATTGAGTGGATCAAGTACAACAGGGATTTAGAGTTGGGAACATTCTACTCAAAGTTCTCCACAATCGCTGAGTACCATCAGTGGAATGACCCTGATCGCCTGTTTTCTGTAAGTCTAACATTTTTAAGTTTCCGGGAGGTCGTTCTCCTGATGGAGGAGAAATTTAGGAAAACTTCCCTCAGGGCAGCCTCACAGCTGGAATTCAGCTCGATAGCCCAGAAGCCAGAGAAAACAATAGAGCAGTGGAGGATAGAGTCATGGACACTGCCCAGAAGGCGTTTGATGGCGGAATATCGCCAAAGATATTGCAAGAACAGCTTATTGTGATGTTTGCTCTTGGTTAAAGTGATGGTAAAACGGGTGACAGTTAATTAAAACACCCCTTGTACTCTGACAGAGTTCGATAAGAGGATTGAAAACTTTCCAGTTAAGTCGCCTAGCAATGGTTTGTCATCTATGTGCTGTTACGTCTGCTTCTTCAGAGCGGGAAGTGATGGGCGGAGAGATTCTCGCTCGCCCCTTGCTCATTGGCGTAAGCTCTCGGACTTCGAGCTCCGAGATAAGTCAGTGGAGCGAAAAAATAGTTATCCTTGTGATTCCAGAGAGAGAGAGAGAGTAGTAATAGGGGCCGCAGCCCAATGCGTAGGCCTGTGAGGGAGCAATCAGCGAGTCGAGGGCGCTCAAAAAATTCAGGGTCAGTAGTGTGTCATGACTGTAAGGGACCGGGACATATACGGCGGAATGGTCCACGTTGGAGCAACCCGAAGTCCCTATGCTCTTGTATTAAAAATGTGATGAAGAGACCAAGCCTAGGAGGCGTTCGTCTAATTCTGCTAATAGAGTGACCTTTTCTCACACTCCAAATGTCAAGGCCACTTATATTATTCCTTCTGTACGGTCTGGGAGACATGGTTCTAGCCCCAGTTCTTGGCGTGTAGGAAGCCAGTAAATTTAATGCCACTATTTATACAACCGCTAGAATTGCAACTCGGGAGAAGTTTACAAGTCGCTGAGGCCCCGGTCGAGATGGTCAGATATACCAATAACAGATTAGTGAGGGGCAGGTATGACTGCTCAATACTTTAGGAGTCTTCATTAGCGAATCGGGGATCATCATTTGATTGAATGTGACTTGAGCGCAGATATGACAGAATTCATACTAGAACCTGCAAGTATTTTCAGCCTGGCATAGTAGCTTCTCGGATATATAATGCCGCAGGAAGCAGACTTAACCTGACTGACAGAAATTATATAATTCAAACAGGTACCAAAATAGGGGAAGCAGTCCCTGCTTTGTCGGTGGAGGTACCGACCCCAAAATGCACCGTGTGTCGGTTAAGGTGAAAAACAGTTTAAAGCATATAGTCACCACTTGAAGAAAATTAAGGGGGGGGGGCGCATTTGGAGATTAAGTTTTAGGCTGTAGATTTGGTTAAGTGGTCAAGGATTTTATGTTAAAACCCCATTTCCTTGACCTTGAAGATTGGCCAAATTTTCAAAAATTTTAACATTTTTTAACATTTGTTTTAACTTCTGAATGACCAGTCACGAGAGGTGAAAGTCACGGGTCTTTCGGATGAGACCATAAAAACCAAGGTCCCGTGTCACGGTAGGCGTTGGCACGATAAAGAATTCTCACTGCTAAATGGCCCTGAGTGCCGAGTATAGGTCTAAATTTGAAGCCCTTCACTGGCAAACAGTTATGTCTCTATATAAGTAAAAAAGATTCTTGAATGGGACGTGACGTTAAACAATTTACAATCAATTAAAAACTTCTGAATGAGAGAAGATTAAATTTTATATTTGACATGTGCATTACCTCTTTCAAGACCCTTCAGAATGTACTTTGGTTTTTGACCTTGTGATTTTGACCTTAATGTTTAACCTAAGTCCTTCTCAAATTTCTGTACATTGGTATTAATATTTGACCTTGAAAGAGAGAAGGTAGGGCTTTCATGCTTTACATGTACATTATATTGTACCCTGACAACATCTTTCAGAAAGAAATATCATTATTGACGTCTTGACCTTGATCTAGAAGTTTGATCTACTTCCAAAACTTTAACTTTGATCATTACTTTTGCTCTAGAGGAGCATGTGCATTACACGTGACAAGAACTTTCAGATTACTAATATATTATTATATTTGACCACATGACCTTGCTCTTGAACGTTGATGCAGTTTTGAGAAATTTTAATCTTTGCGGTAACTTTTATTAATTCAAAAAATTACAATTTTTTTTTTTTTTGCACAGACAAGACAGAGTTCACAAGCAAAACAGTTACGATATGCCATAAATAATTGCATCCCAACCGCTAATATACGGATAGGGGGGAGGGCACAATTCTTTGAATTTGTTTGTTTCGACTAGACTGTGAGTATAGAAGGAAATGAGGATTTTAAATAATATTTTACTTTCTTTTGATTCATGGAAAATGTATGTGACAAGAGGCATTTGTTTTGTGAAATTAATAAGAATATAAACTTGTAAAACTGTTTACCTATATTGTTCCTATATTGTAGTTTTCTTACAATTGTGAATATGCAATTTTACTTTTTACTTTATATTTGTTGTGTTATATGTAATCGTGAAATAAAACTCTGTCAATAAACATCTAATTCATTCTGGGTTTTTTTAAATATATTTATTCTTTAAAACGAACAACTAGACAAGAGCTTTGCATTGCTGTCTGTGCAATTCTGTCTAATGATTTCCTTACATGTTAATTTAACGGCTTGGCCAAGATCAGGTGCCCATTTCCAACTTAATGATGTTATATAGATGTAACTCTTTATAGTTACATATAATCTAAATGTCTTTTGTTGCATTGCAAAGATCAGAATGAGAGCTTTCCATTGGTATATAATATAATATATATAGTATCTGCATTTTTGAAAAAAAAAACAATAGAATACAGTCAAATATTCATAATTTTTGAAGCGTTATGCTGTTGCACTTGATTTTTTACATTTTAAAGAATGGTTAATTAAAATTATTTTGAATTAAGCATTCCAAAATAAATGTACATTATTATTAATAGAGAAGTCATTCTGGTTAAGTTTATTTTTTACAGAAAAGAAAAAGGATAGAAATTGTGGAAATTATGAATGAATGTGTGCAGATATACCTTTGTTATATAATTTAAGATTTATCAATGTTTGAATAAATGCATAAATTTCTATCAAAAAAGAGCAAATATAATTTGTTTAAAAAATTTTATTTAACTTA